GTATGGGGGCAGTGTGTGTGTATGGGGGACAGTGTGTGCTCGGGTGAGTGTATGTGTGTAGGGGGTGTGTGTATGGGGAGCAGTGTGTGTGTATGGGGGGCAGTATGTGTGTATGGGAGCAGTGTGTGTATGGGGGGAAGGATGTGTGCATGTGGTCAGTGTGAGTGTGAGTGTGGGCAATTTATGTGTATGGGGCGGCAGTGTATGGGGACATTGTGTGTGTATGGGGAGCAGTGTGTGTGTATGGGGAGCAGTATAGGGGGCAATGTGTGTGTATAGAGGCAAGTATAGGGATCAGTGTATGTGTGTGAAGTGTGTGTGTGTGTATAGGAGTAGAGTATATGCCAAATGTGCAAAGTGTGTGCATGGGGGCAGTGTGTGTGCATGGGGGGGGGCAGTGTATGTGTACATAGAGGGGGGCAGTGTGTGTGCATAGGGGTCAGTGTGTGTGTATGGGGGTAGTGTATGTGTGTAGTGGGTGTGTATGGGGGGGCAGTGTGTGTATCGGGTAGTGTATGTGTGTAGAGTGTGTGTATGGGGGGGCAGTGTGTGTGTGTATTGGGGGCAGTGTGTGTGTATGGGGGCAGTGTGTGTGTATGGGGGGGGCAGTGTGTGTGTATGGGGGGTAGGGATCGACCGATATTGATTTTTTAGAGCCGATACCGATACCGATAATCTGCGAACTTTCAGGCCGATAGCCGATATCTTGCCGATATTCTGTACATTTAATATTTTGAATAAATAAACTAATTCGAAAGGTAAATGCACAAAATATACATGCCACATGTAGTGGATGAAGTGTTTTTAGACAGGGGAACTGTGTGTGTAGTGGATGCAGAGTGTGTGTGTATAATGAATGTAGTGTGTATATAATGGAGTGTGTTTATGTATTGTGTGTGTATAATGCAGTGTGTTTTTGTGTGTGTATGTAATGCAGTGTGTGTGTTTGTAGTGTGTATGTGTATGTATGTAATGCAGTGTGTGTTTGTGTAGTGTGTATGTAATGCAGTGTGTGTGTGTATGTAATGCAGTGTGTGTGCAGTGTAGTGTGTGCAGTGTGTGTGTCTGTAATGCAGTATGTGTGCAGTGTGTGTTTGTGGTGTGTGTGTATGTAATGCAGTGTGTGTGTGTCTGTGTAGTGTGTGTATGTAATGCAGTGTGTGTGTGTCTGTGTAGTTTGTGTATGTAATGCAGTGTGTGTATGTAATGCAGTGTGTGTGTGTCTGTGTAGTGTGTGTATGTAATGCAGTGTGTGTGTGTGTCTGTGTAGTGTGTGTATGTAATGCAGTGTGTGTGTGTCTGTGTAGTGTGTATGTAATGCAGTATGTGTGTATGTAATGCAGTATGTGTGCAGTGTGTTTGTGTGTGTGTAGTGATGTAATTTGTGTAATTTTTTATTTTAATATTTAAATGTTTTTTTTGTTTAGTCCCCCCCAGTGTGTGTTTGTGTAGAGTGTGTTTGTGTAGAGTGTGTTTGTGTATAGTGTGTTTGTGTGTGTGTGTAGTGATGTAATTTGTGTAATTTTTTATTTTAATATTTAAATGTTTTTTTTTTTTTGTTTAGTCCCCCCTCCCTGCTTCTTACCAGGGAGGGGGATATAGTATTCCCTGGTGGTCCACTGGCTTGTTAAGTACAGTGGTGGCTCAGCAGCAAGCGCTGACTTACCTTGCAAGCAGCTCCTACAGCTCCCTGTGTAAATCTCGCGGCTCTTAGTGCCGCGCGGAGCGTTGCCATGGTAACCCGTGGCAACGCTCTGCGGCCGCGGGTCTCGCGTGATTTATACAGAGAGCTGTAGGAGCTGCTTGCAAGGTAAGTCAGCGCTTGCTGCTGGCCCCCACAGGACCGCCGGGCTTGTAATGGGCACGGCGGTCCTGTAATATATTATCGGCAATATCGGTATCTGAATTGGCCGATACCGATATTGCCGAAAATACCAAATATCGGCCGATAATATCGGCCAGACCGATAATCGGTCGATCCCTAGTCTGGGTGCCAGGTCCCCCAGGTTTTAACCCTGCAGCTGTAAACATAGCAGTTTCAGAAAAATTGCTATGTTTACATTCCGGGGTTAATCCAGCCTCTTGTGGCTGTCTTCCTGACAGCCGCTAGAGGCGCTTCTGTGACACTCCATGCAAAATTTGCATTGCGCACACAGAACTTCTCAATGCTTTCCTATGGGCGTTTTTAATGCGTTTGCATTCGGCTCAACTCGGGAGCTGACGTCGGAGGGGGAGGACAGTGCCGAGGGAGGGGGCCCTGAGGGTGGGGGGACCCTAAGGATTATATAGTGTCAGGAAAACAAGCTTGTTTTCCTGACACTGTAGTAATTCTTTAAGTATTGAGGTTTTTTTTTTCTCCTCTTCATCTCTGGTGTTTGAGTAATAAAATATTTGTGGTGTCCATGCTACTCAGAAGTAATAAATTAAACACTCTGCTTACCATGGGCTGGAGCAGATCACAAATATACTTTAAAATACTTTTATACTTTTCTTACTGACAAAAAAAAAAAGATAACTGCATGGCCATGGTTCACATACCATACTGTATTTTTTGTTTTGTTTTTTGAACTGTAGATACATTTATCATCTCTTCTGTTCAAAAAAGTGTTCTTCC